TCAGCGACTCATCTCGTACTTTATCGGTAGCTTATTACGTATCTAAGCTTTATCCTTTTGCCCTTATGTTCCACTAGCCTTCTCCATTAATCAATAATTAAAGAAGTTTACGTTACAAAATTAAATCACAGTGAAACTTATATTACGCTCACAATATAATGAGATTCACAGTTAAATGTAACGAAGATGGAAACTTACCACAAAGCTATAATAAGTTGCAATACACAATTAAGTGTAGCATAAAGCTGCTGCATATATGCATGACAACTTTTGGTCTGCCTCGTCTTTATTCTTGTGTTCTTTTTGAACAAATAAAATTCAAGTTAACTTTCCGTGAGTACTGCCGGATTAAAATTATGCGTCGCTACTAATTTTAAAAATACGTTGATTTATATAGGTAGTGATAGTTATGTAATGTAGTGGTAGTGGTATTTATAGGTAGTAGTATTTTATTTGGTATTTTGCTAAAGCAAAATTGAAGAACAATCATTGTAATGGCAGTTGTGCCTTTTTACATTAAAATTATGGTGTCTAGTATGAACGAGTTAAAAAGGAAATTTTTGCTTCAAATATTTTGGTTGCTGTCTGAGTTCGAATAATATATTTATTAACTTAACTTATCCCTTTCAATTAAAAGTTTCACTTTGACATTTCTTCTCTGGAATATAGAGCATAATAGCATTTGACAATGAAAGCATGATGTGAGGTAATTAATTTTTGAATTATCAACAGAGTTAACTTCAATTTTATGTGTTCAAAAAGAACGCAAGAAGAAGGACGAGGCAAGACCAAAAGTTGTCAGGTATATATCAATTAATACTTGAAACTATTCCAAAAATCACCCTGACTTATTTATTAGCAAGCTGTCATCAACACTGAGCTGCATTTCAGGCTGGGAGGCGCTTCTGACACAAGTCTTTAAACCAATTATGAAAATAATGGTCGAGCAGCATGAAGATGTAATGTTAAGCATGTATAAATGAAGATGTAGTGTAAAGATGTAAAATATAATATTTTGCACAACATGGGTTTTCCAGGAGTGTGGGCGTGAAGTGTACGGCCAATTAACAGGATTTAGGATGCAAGACATGAATAATGTCAGTGCAAACAGGACATGAATAACGGTTTCTTTCGGTTGTTTCTTCTGTTAAGAGTTTGAACCCTGTATGAACAAGTAGTGGATCGTTCCAAGTTTAAATACGAATACCTAGATATAGAAATGATGAAGCTGTTGTTCACCTCTGTCGTGCGCTCAAACCTAGAGTTTGGAAAAGTTGTGTGGTCACCGAGACTTGAAAAGGGCAGAAATTTAGTTGAGAGTGTTCAAAGACGTGCAACAAGGATAATTCCAGGCTTGAAGGGCAAGTCCTATGAAGAAAGATTGAAGATCATGAAGCTTCCAAGCCTCAGTTATCGACGTCTGCGTGGGGACCTCATTGAAGTATACAAGTATACTCATGGTTTGTACAAGGTCCCTGAAGGATTACTAGAATTTGAAACAAGAACCAACACCAGGGGCCACAGCTATAAACTAAAAAAACTGCGCTGCAACTTCTCCACGCAACAACATTTCTTCTCGCTTCGAGTCACCGACATGTGGAACAGCCTTCCTGAAGATATTGTTGACGCTCCGAGTATGAACGCGTTCAAGAACAGACTAGACAAGGCCATGCATGAGCATATGTTTCGTATGAACGCGTTCAAGAACAGACTAGACAAGGCCATGCATGAGCATATGTTTAGTCTTAAAATGCCTCGTACCCTACGGAACAACTGATATCTAGAAGCGATTTTAAATCTACCGTCCGTTTAAGAGATCTGCCAGTCTGATCAAAAGGCCAGTCTAGTCAAGAAAAGTACAAGAATCGGCGACAGGCCTATCCTTCAATGCCGAAGGTACTATATTATACTATGCTAATACATACGTACGATACAATATAAACAAGGTATTTAAATTTATTTAGTTTTTTGATATATTTAAACAAACCTTCTAACGCGGGATAGTATTTTATCAAATGCAAGGTTTATGAGTAATGAATACTATGTGTCAAATTCCAAATAATATGGTGTTTCTCACACATACATACCAATGATTGGTTGTTTCTGCATGGTGAGCTATTGTTCACTTCAAACATTTAATTTGATTGACAACCCCTTTATACTAATTTGTTTCATTTCTTTCATTTTTTTAGTAATATTTGAATCCATGTCAACGTTTTAGTCAAATAATGCTTCAATCTATGAATTTTTTAAAATTGAATTGATTCATTTTATTTACTCTTCAATCCTCTTATCACCCCAAATCAATTTATCGACCTCTTGAAAGTCGATGACTTTACCGACCCCTTTAGGCAAGCCATCATCATGGCGGTGAAGGAGACCCCGACTGAGTCTGCGTTTGATGGCAAATTGCCGGCACTGCATACGGCGAGGCCTAGTTGAGTGGAACACCTCAGTGCCAACCAAGTCAGAGATTCTTCCATTCGTTCAGAACGAATGGAATGCAAGTAAAAACTCATCTTACAATACCAAGGGGAGGAGGGAAATATTATCTGATAAAGATGGGAGGAGACTGCAGACCAATTTTTTGTTCTTGTATACACCATACATACGTACAAGCCTTGGCTGTTGATGGAGCTTCGGTGGTATAAGGAGGACGAAATCAAGTGAATTAAAAAAGGATTTGACATAGCAACAAATGCCAACAGATATAATTGAAATGCTCATTTTTTTTAGAACAATAGACACAGAAAGAGCTCCTGCGATTGACTACTTGAAATCACGAAAAAAACTGATGTAAATTTTGTCGGTGCTCTATATAGGTTACGATAGATAATTCAGGCTTCAAATCATCATACAGAGTATTTTTCCGACTTCACAGAAGACTATTTTGTTGCCTGAGTAAAATAAACCGGGGACGAAATAATTTCTTTCACTCAGCAAACTTCTTAACACGAGCATAAGCGTTTTGAATAAACTTATGTCAACGGAATGCTATTTATAGAACCTGTTGAGCTTCATCGGGTTTGATGGATCCAAAGCAGATTTATAATTTTGAAGCCTGAATTTTTATAAAACATGTATAATTTAAATTGAGATAAGAAACGAGGCAAAATCATTGCATATTCACACTGGTGGAAACAACGTTCACGCAGGATTGGTCCACATCTCTGATTGTTGGTCCACATCGTAATCTTGGGCTTTTCAATGCATAATGTCGTATCTGTTAATGTAAATGTCATTACTTTGAGCAAAATAATCATTAAGAATCATTACCCAAATAACCCAAGCAATAATGAGTCGTATTACTTCTTAGTTTTACCTATAGACATCAATAATATTTTTCGATTTTTAAACAGTAGGCACGATAACTATCAACTCAAACAAATGTAGAGAAATTTTCACTGCGAACTCGAGATATGTTAGAGATAACTCGTCTCCAGATACATTGTTAATATAATAATAGCCGTTTCAGCGTTTATTAGGCCGTAGGCCTGTCGCCGATTCTTAACATCGCAGAACATTCACAGCTTGTTGCGGGCTTGAACTCGCAACTCACTGCTACAGTTCTGCTGTGCTTAACCGCCCGGCCTCCTTGCCGATTCTGACCAGAAACTGGCGCACAGAGCTGGGATCGAACCCGCACCTCACTGCTACAATCTTGGTACTCTGAACTGTAACCACTGGGCCACCCTGCCCAAGATCCATTTAAGGAGGCAGCTGAACAAAGCTTTGCGGTGGTAAATGAATATAACACACTGCATGCGGTCACTCAAGAGCAGAAGCAGTATAAGGCAGTTTGTTGACAGGAACTACATGTATAAACAAACTCATGCGAACGAAAAACAGTCAAAACCTATGCGGCAGGACTGAAACACTGAACTAACTACGGCTTATCAGTATTTTGGTACAACAGCAGCACTGAGTGTTATTATTTTCCTCTTCTCGATATTAGCAACAACCTATTATTATTGGAAAAATGGAGCTGATGTCACAACGTAAAAATGCTTAGATATTAAAAAAATGCACCCTAGAATATCCTTGTAAAGGAAATAAAACGCAATGTATTTTTTGACATTGAATTGTGATTCCCAAATAAATGTTTCGAAAGGTCCAATTTACGTGTATTATTCATCCAATTAACCTTTTTAAGAATACACACCTCAGTAGTCACGAAAAGTACAAGAATCGGCAACAGGCCATGGGCCTATTACTTCAGCGCCGACGCTTCTATTCTAGTAGTGTTCTTGTTAAGAATAGGCTACGCACCCCAATAAAATCTGGGGTGCTTATTCTTAACACGATCAAAATGCTTGTTTGAACCTAATTTTCGTTTCAACAGAACAGTTACGACAGCGTGTAATCAAGTTTCGTTTGCGAGCTTGTAAAATGGATTAACTAATGTTATTAGATTGAGTTCTTTTTGCATTAGTACTTCTATACAGTACATGAATCTTTTCAACACTGTTTGTAGAAATTGAAGTAAAAACTTATACTAGTGTTTTACCGGAACTGATGTACAATTAGTATTATATATGTAGACACTCCTGCGCATTTCCTTCCTGTGTCTGAGTATCGTCCATCCGCAGACTCGTCTATTTTCAAGTTCTATCACGTATAATCTCTGATCATGTATAAACAAATTTACAAAACATGTATCTACACCATTTATAAGGCCTTAATACTTCAAATGTTTCATTGACTACGGTGCAGGCGGCCAAATTATCTCTCATAAGCATTAGCATAAAATTAGTGATTGAAACATTTTGCACAACCTGTGACGTCATCAGGGTGCGACTCATAGGAAACGTCGTCCGAATCCCTTGTAAGTAGGGGAATTATCGCGAATGAATTCAAAATAATGTATAACTAAATACTCATAGAATATTCATATTTAAAACTCTCATTCAACATGAATTTGCTTCCCACACTTGTTATTCATTCACTTACGTAGTATGAATGTATTTATCGTTGTAAACAAACACGTGTTCGAACACATTTGCGGATTAGAGGAAATGATCCCCCACAGAGAGTTAAAATACTTACAGCTGTGATTTGTGGCTTCTGTTCGTCCTGTGAGCAGTGCATGGTTGGGAACGAAAGCGTGTCGTGCTTATGGTTATAATCAATTAAAATAATAATGACAGATAGAAATGCTAAAAGACTTTTAGAGCTGCTGCGGCAACCTGGCAATGACGAATGTGCCGATTGTGGTTTGAAAGGTTGGTGTACCTAACAGTCTAACACTAACTTCCTAAGTACTGTAAAATATAAATTAGCCTACTGTTACAGTTTCATATAAATAATAATGCCGCTGGAAATTTTTGATAAGTACCTTAGGTACCGTAACCATATAGGTACGGTACACCTGTTGCCTGAAGCTTTTTCAATCGTTTTGCATCATTTGAGAATTTGAGATTTTTCTCATTTATATACTAGACTCTAGAGCAATTAAATTAAGAAAGTTCCTCAATCACATTCACTGATTCTGAAATTTTTTGCTTATGGCCTATTTTAATTTTACTTCTTTACGTCTGCTCAATTTTTCTATTAGTACCTATTTATCCTTTGAATATGACTGTATGTTTAGCTTTACCATCTAAAATATTTCTAAGCTACCTGCTACCTACACGTTTCAACTTCAGTTCAGGCATGAAAATATCTAGGTACACTCAACTGACTCAAGTCAAAGCTGTAGCTAGCTTCCTAGCTTCAAATGATTAGAAATAGGTAGGTATTTGGCTTAATTTTCCAAAAATTGTAGTGAAGTAGTGGTGGCCTCGCTGGCCTGGTGGGTAAAATGGATCATTTGTCATGCAATTTTTACAACTGCAGGCAAAAAATACCTCCACACTCCAGTGCCATTGTGGCTCTTGTTTAAAATTTTTTTTTTCAAAAATTAAGGAAAATGGCTCATTTTTGCCTGCAATTGTACAAAATTGTCCTGAGACAATAATTTTTAATCATGATGTCTTGAAAATGAATGCCAACACTTCAGATTGGGCTATTAGCCTATTACTATACTTTTACTAGCGTGGAAAAGGAAAACAGCTACGTACCTTTAGGGCTGCAACTAGAGGTTTCCTGCCATTTCCGGTACTGCAAGATTTCTGCCAGATGAATTACCTCCTATCCAATTGTTAACAAAAGTGCACGATCCAGCTGTGAGATTCCAAATGTATTAAAACTGTGTCACATTGGAGCCGCAAGATTTGAGAAACAAGTAGGAAAATTCTAATCCTATACTTTTAGAGCTAAAATTTTATCAAATTTGCAATACTAAAAATATTCATTTAACTAATGTTGCAACTATTGTGGCTTTGGACATCTCTTACTTTTTTTCAATTCTCATGATTATTTGAATTGCAGGTCCAGAATGGGCTTCCTACAATCTGGGTGTATTTCTCTGTACAACTTGTGCAACAGGGCACCGCAAAATTGGATCACACATCTCCAAAGTAAAGAGTCTAAAATTGGGCAAGTAAGTAGTGGCTTTTTTGTTGAATTATGCAGTATATAATTATCAGTGATTGTTTCTGGTTGATTTCTCTGACATATTTTGCAGCAGAATAACCCCTAAAGTCTGGCCTCCAATGATACTGCCTAAATTGAACTTGACTTTTTTCCCATTAAAGTTAGTAAATATTGTATACTTATGTATCATCTTGTTTTTGTCAATTTGATATTTGTATGATCTTTATGAAAAGTTTTAATGATGATACATTGTTTTTGTTGAGAAGTACCGGTAATAGTAAATCAAGTACCTAGGCTATGGTTATATATAAATAAATACCTCACCAACCTGTGTGTCATTGATGATCATCCTTTCAAAAAGACTCATTCTGGCAAATATTATCATCCGATTTATTTACCCTACACATTGTTTGCACATTGGAGAGTGCAAACTTGTAATTTTAGTTTATTAACACCAATAATATACTTTTTCTATCTACAAGTATATAGGTGGTCTTGGAATTCTCAGGCTGCTTTCCTGACCAAAACTTGTTTTTATTTGTGAAGAATTGAAGGTCATGATAATAACTACCGTACCGGTACCTACCTCATGATTATAGCTTGGCCCATAGGCTTGTTAAACTTTATATTGGCTTGTACAAGGCCTCTAATCTTCCTGTCAGGCTTAAAAAAGTTATTTCTAAGCATTTACCTGGGCACCATGAAGTTCTGCCAGGCTGACATGTTTTGTAAAAGTTCATGGATAGTCTACCGTGATGTAATCTGGGAGGGATAATTTATAAGCAAGAATTACCTACCCCTCAACCTGGCATATTGGATAACAAAACCTCAATTTAAATATTTCCTTTATAAGTAAAGTGACATGTATGTACGGTATATGGATTGAGCTACTGACTCAAAAAGAATGATCTGGAATACAAAAACCACATACCTACGTATATCTAGAATTCAACTCTGTTATACTACTTGATGATAGAAAGTTGATATTGATACTTCCACCTTTTGAAGAAAATGCGGAAAGTGCGTCAGTTCCATTGTCCGAGTCAAAACCTTCATTTAAATGCTCATATTTCAATTTGTGGACTTTGCAGCTGGTGATGCTATAGATAGAACGATGGTCAGATAATTAGTGATTGACTGAGGCATTATAATGATGCCTCAAAAACAAACAGGAAGCCGTGGTGAGGCTTTTTGTGATGCGATTTCAAGTGATCATATATGGTAACTTACCCGTGAAAGGGTTAAAGGTTGGCATATAAAATTTACCTAGGTTACTATTGATATTTTCTCATGTTTGTGTGAATGTAAATACAGTGACTAAAAGATAAGATACTGTGTACAGATTTTAAAATGTTAATGGATGACATGTCATTACATTGAAATATTAATTTTATCAGTAGAATGATCCAATCAATTTTTTACCCTTCAAGAATATGTCTTCTGATCAATTGATCTTACTGATCAATTCTGTAATCACATGCACAATTTTAGAGTTAGAAGACCAATATAGGGAGATTTTTATTGTAAAATGTTCTAAAACAACCACTCTTACCTGTAACTTTCATAAATAATCTGACTGATTTTTGCAGATGGGAAGACCCAGAAGTTGAGGTGCTGGAGAGCGGCGGCAACAGACTTGTAGCTAAGAAGACTGAACGTTTCGTCCCTGCTTGCTATCGCAGACCAAAACCAGGAGATCCTCAGTAAGTAAAGTGCTTGGCACTGTTGTAGTGCACTTTTTATTCTAACATTTATAGTCTATTTCAATGATTTTACTTTATCATTTCTGACAGCTACCACTTTCCTTTATGACTGCTACTATAATAGTCAAGTCACAGTTGCAAAGTTCTGTGTGAGATTCACATTTCTTCCACAAACATTCTTCTCTGGAAATTACCTATATCCATAAAATTTTACTTGAGCGTAGGTATGCTTTTAATCAAAGTATAATACATACCATAATACAGACAATATTTGAGTAGAGCCGTTTTTGATAGAGATCTAACTGCATGGCTGAGATGAGGCAGGTCATTTTTATACCCATTGCTTTCTCTGTACCTGCTGCTATTATTATTTAGCGTTTAATTTCCTGTTAAAACATACATACTAAACATTATTTATGTTTTACTTTACATTTTTTCTCGACATGGAAATCAAAAATATTTTTATTTGTTATCAAATTGCAATTTTTTTACATGGTTTTATTAATTTTCTATGTTTTGTTATTAAATACGAATTATTGAGGGCCGAAATCCAAATTTTTGATGTCATAGTAATTTGAAGTAATAATTGATGGATTTTTTTTCAGTGTTCTCATCGAGCAATGGATCCGAGCAAAGTATGAGCGGAGGGAGTTTGAGACGGACACTTGTAAGGACTACACGAGGGGGGAAATGCGAGGACACCTCATGAAGAAAGCCAAGGATGAAAATAAATACTTTCCTCGCTATTTTATTCTCTCAGAGGCTGAAAACTGCCTCAAATATTTCCCTAAAGAAGTAATTTCTTGGAAATAAGTGCTAAGTTATTCTATTTAAATTCAACTGGGATAATGTTGAAGAAGTCTTCTATACTTCATTACAATGGAGGATCCTCCATGCATGCATCTCTCCTACTGAAATTTATTTGAATTTTTTTCCCTATTGCGATCATTTATAATGATAGATACTTTTCCAAATGTGACATCTTAATAAATCAATGTAGCATAAGTCACTTTTTTTCTCCTAGAAATGAACATGCTGTCTGAGATAATGCCTTTAGGTTTCCTAGCAGCTATACCATGGAATGGTTAGTGTTGAATCTTGTAACTATTTTTATGATAACAAATTTTCACTTATCTTATGATAACAGACTTCCAAATTTCTTATCCTAAGATAACAAACTTGCAATTTTCTTATCTTAGAATAACACACTTCCACTTTTCTTATCTTAAGATACCGTACCATACTTCCAATTTTCTTATCCTAAGATAACAAACCTGCAATTATCTTATCTTAAAACAAAAAATGTGCAATTTTCTTATCTTACAACAACAAATGTGCAAATTTCTTATCTTACAACAACAAATGTGCACTTTCCTTAACTCATTGTGTCGTGCAGGGTGCAAAGGAGCCTAAAGCAACCATCCCTCTCTCTGAGATGAACGTATGTCTCGCCCCCGCCAAGATGCACCAGGACAACTATCTTATCTTATTGTGTCGTGCAGGGTGCCAAGGAGCCTAAAGCAACCATCCCTCTCTCCGAGATGAACGTATGTCTCGCCCCCGCCAAGATGCACCAGGACAACTATCTTATCTTATTGTGTCGTGCAGGGTGCCAAGGAGCCTAAAGCAACCATCCCTCTCTCTGAGATGAACGTATGTCTCGCCCCCGCCAAGATGCACCAGGACAACTATCTTATCTTATCTTATTGTGTCGTGCAGGGTGCCAAGGAACCTAAAGCAACCATCCCTCTCTCTGAGATGAACGTTTGTCTCGCCCCCGCCAAGATGCACCAGGACAACTATCTTATCTTATTGTGTCGTGCAGGGTGCCAAGGAGCCTAAAGCGACCATCCCTCTCTCCGAGATGAACGTATGTCTCGCCCCCGCCAAGATGCACCAGGACAACGGGCTGCAGATCTCCTACATCGTCGAGGGGTCGACACGACACGTCTACTTGTACCATGAGAGCGGTCACGTCATCATCAACTGGTACATGGCCATCAGGTCGGCCAAGCTCAACAGGTTCATGGTAGCATACCCTAGTGCATCTGAAACTGAGGTGCGTCTATTATCTTTATTGCTTATTACATTATTTATTTATAATTTGTGAATTGCGTTTATTATGTTTATGGTTTATTCAATTATTCATTTCTTTATTTATTTATTACTGAGGTGCTTCTATAATGATAATTATTTATTTATTAATTTTTTAATAGTGTAGTGTCACTAATAATAAATAAATAAAGATAATAGACTAATACATTTATTTATTAGTCTATTATCTTAACACTAATACCGTAATTATGTCAAGACATTTCTTTGATAAATTTGCATTTGTTTAATTTGTTTATTTTGACATACCCCACTAGATGTTAGTGTAAGATGTGTCTCCTAGGTGGATAATAATCAATAATCATTGTCTTGCTTTTTACAAGTCTGCCCTTGTTTATTGTGATATATTTGACTATTTTTGACAACCACATTTGTTTTTACTTGAAAATACGAGTATGTTCTCAATATTACTGATGTCAAGTAATAAGGGTATCATTTTGCAAGAAATTTATCATATTAACTTGAATAATTTGCACAGCTGGTGCCTTTCCTGTGTACGGACTTCGCCCTGGAGGGCTACCTCAGCAAGACCGGGCCCTCTGAGGCAGACGGCTACCGGAAAAGATGGTTCATACTAGACCATCGCAAGCTCATGTACCACACCGGACAGATGGTAAGATTCTTGTAGAAAATGTCCATTGATTTAGCTGTTATTAGTCATGCAAATTCCTCAAAGGTGATAAGTTGATTTAGCTATTCTCTAAATTTTATGTTAGTTTTGTGGTCAAGTTGTGAAGGCAGTTCATGTACTTGTTTTTTTTTCTACTCGCTTTAAACTGTTAACTGAATTTGCTCAAATGAATACCTATAGGTATGTACACATTACTGTGTACTTATTTAGAATTAATTTCTGATTTCTTGTTACTTAAGCTCCTGATTTCTTGCCTTTCTTGACTGTTCAAATATAAACAGTCCTGTGTAGGTACTAATATTAATTTTTGATTATCATTTCAATTTATCTCCTAATTTCCTGACAGGACGCGTACCCGAAGGGTGAGATCTTCCTTGGGCACAAGGACGACGGGTACGCAGTTGAGCTGGGGGCGCCCAAGAACTGTAAAGACCAGGTAATGCCTTTACCTTACCTGTAAAGACCAGGTAATGCCTTTACCTTGCCTGTAAAGACCAGGTAATGCCTTTACCTTGCCTGTAAAGACCAGGTAATGCCTTTACCTTACCTGTAAAGACCAGGTAATGCCTTTACCTTACCTGTAAAGACCAGGTAATGCCTTTNGTTCACTAACCCCCTCCCTCCTACTAGATCTAATTAACCCCTTCCTACAGGGGTTCACATTCCACCTGGTGACGCCGGAGCGGACGTTCGTGTAGGGGTTCACTAACCCCCTCCCTCCTACTAGATCTAATTAACCCCTTCCTACAGGGGTTCACATTCCACCTGGTGACGCCGGAGCGGACGTTCGTGTAGGGGTTCACTAACCCCCTCCCTCCTACTAGATCTAATTAACCCCTTCCTACAGGGGTTCACATTCCACCTGGTGACGCCGGAGCGGACGTTCGTGTAGGGGTTCACTAACCCCCTCCCTCCTACTAGATCTAATTAACCCCTTCCTACAGGGGTTCACATTCCACCTGGTGACGCCGGAGCGGACGTTCGTGTAGGGGTTCACTAACCCCCTCCCTCCTACTAGATCTAATTAACCCCTTCCTACAGGGGTTCACATTCCACCTGGTGACGCCGGAGCGGACGTTCGTGTAGGGGTTCACTAACCCCCTCCCTCCTACTAGATCTAATTAACCCCTTCCTACAGGGGTTCACATTCCACCTGGTGACGCCGGAGCGGACGTTCGTGTAGGGGTTCACTAACCCCCTCCCTCCTACTAGATCTAATTAACCCCTTCCTACAGGGGTTCACATTCCACCTGGTGACGCCGGAGCGGACGTTCGTGTAGGGGTTCACTAACCCCCTCCCTCCTACTAGATCTAATTAACCCCTTCCTACAGGGGTTCACATTCCACCTGGTGACGCCGGAGCGGACGTTCGTGTAGGGGTTCACTAACCCCCTCCCTCCTACTAGATCTAATTAACCCCTTCCTACAGGGGTTCACATTCCACCTGGTGACGCCGGAGCGGACGTTCGTGTAGGGGTTCACTAACCCCCTCCCTCCTACTAGATCTAATTAACCCCTTCCTACAGGGGTTCACATTCCACCTGGTGACGCCGGAGCGGACGTTCGTGTAGGGGTTCACTAACCCCCTCCCTCCTACTAGATCTAATTAACCCCTTCCTACAGGGGTTCACATTCCACCTGGTGACGCCGGAGCGGACGTTCGTGTAGGGGTTCACTAACCCCCTCCCTCCTACTAGATCTAATTAACCCCTTCCTACAGGGGTTCACATTCCACCTGGTGACGCCGGAGCGGACGTTCGTGTAGGGGTTCACTAACCCCCTCCCTCCTACTAGATCTAATTAACCCCTTCCTACAGGGGTTCACATTCCACCTGGTGACGCCGGAGCGGACGTTCGTGTAGGGGTTCACTAACTCCCTCCTGCAGGGGCTAATTAACCCCCTGGTTCACAGGGGTTCACTAACCTCTCCCTGGTTCACAGGGGTTCACCTTCCACCTGGTGACGCCGGAGCGGACGTTCGTGTTCTCCGCGAGCTGCCGGGAGGAGCGGGACGCGTGGATGGCTGCGCTGACTGCGGTGCTGGCGCGGCCGCTGCGCCCTCAGGACAACCTCAGTAAGGCGGCCCTAGCCTCCACCAACCGCGCCAGCCGACACTCCTGGTTCAGATAATTCAACCCTTATTTCCTGCTGGTTGAATTTGCTTATTATTGATGGTCGTGGCACTCCTGGTTCTGATAATTCAACCCCACGCTAGTTTATTTAGTCCGAGTCTGTGGGTTTTTCATCGGTTTTGTTCAGAGTTAATCAACTTGGCTTTTTTCAACTCGCTGTACAGGCTTTTTCTATGCAAAAAATGATGTGGCTTGTCTTTCTTCTGTTCCGTTAATAATTTAACACGTTGACTACGAAGTGGTAGATATGCGTACCACGAAATGTATTTTTCCAGGATGCAGTGGTAGGTACATACCAAATTTAGGTTGCCTAAAATCGGCCAGATTTGAGAACAAAAAAGGCCGATAACTCAATATATACTATTTTATTTGTAGGTTCCGCTATAAAAATTTCTTTTATTTTCTTTTTGCAGTATTTGAAATTCAATTAGCTAGTACCCTTATCATAATTTTTAGCCGCCCAACGCAATTGAGAAAAACTAAATCACGGAATATGTCCGGAAAAATTACCGTCTGGCAACCCTGCTGAAAAACTACAAAAAATGAAATAATAGTACAAGATGAAGCAATCGTAGTCAACGTGTTAATTTTATTTGGGGTAAATCTGTCCTTATAAATATAGTTAGTTGACTTCAATGCTCTATTGATGTTGGGGCATGTGGTTCTTTTTTAATCTAATTTTAATTTGTATTGTCTTGATTTAAAGCTTTTTACTGTTTTTTTTCTTGTCTTTTGATTTATGAGTGATTGAGATGTCCCTTATTCCTGCCATGTGTGGATTGTATTGATACATTCTGTTTGTATTAATTGGATTATATTAATACAATATGTTCTGTAATTATACAATCTAATGTATTTGAAGACTTTTGCATGAAGCTTACTTTGTAAAATTGCATTTGTGTAGATTTTGCGTTGAATGTGCTTTCATTAAGTCACATAAACATATTTTTCTCTCCAGAATTATACGTCGTTTATTAATCTTTGCACAAATTATAAGTAATAATTTTCTCAATAAATGTTTTCTGTTGGTTTATTATTGTAAATATTTGTCGGTGTGCATCTGTATTTTGATGTTTTAGTAGATAACTTGTGTTAAAGTTATTATGTTCGAATGCCAAGCTTTCGTCTCTTGGCTTCTGTCATTTATTTGCTGTAGCTGCACTTAAGTCGCCATTTTTAGCGCATTTTCTCATTTATGGAAAAACAGCGCTATTGTGCTCGCCATGTCCGTCCGTCCTTCCGTCTTTCCGTCCGTCTGTCTGTCTGTCCGTCCGTCTGTCCGTCCGTCTGTCCGTCTGTCTGTCTGTCTGTCTGTCCGTCCGTTTGTCCGTCTGTCTGTCTGTCCGTCTGTCCGTCTGTCCGTCCGTCCGTCTATCTGTCTGTCTGTCTGTCTGTCCGTCCGTCCGTGACCTCAAGTTTTCGTCGACGAGAAAATGCGCTCTCTGTCACTCATTGCAGCGAGTACTGCGTTATATTGTGTGCAAAATAAAAGCTGTGTGTATACATGGCGATATGTATATTCATATCTTAGCATTACATGGCAGTATTTTTTTCTTGAAAAGCGTGCGAATAATGACCAAAGACTGCATTATAGTCAAATTTTCAGGGAATAAAAATTTCTTCAGATGACGTTAACAAATCAAACGGCAGGCCTCGGCAAGTACCTATAATATATTTAATGACGTTTCGAATGTACTATCTATATTCAAAGAAGCATTTAACAATGAATTTTTGTTAGTTAAAGTACATAATACATGAATATAGGGTACAGCATGAAATTTTTTGAAGTGGAAAATGGTTCTGAAAATTTTCTCAAAGTTCATAAAATTTCATTTGTTTTCAAATGGATGCTGGAGTTCAGTCGCCATTGATGATGGCCACAGCACTGCATGATGCTGGATTCACCACAAAATTCACCATATCTCTTATAAAGATAAGGTGAATTTTTGTGGTATTTCTTTGCTTTTAAATTCCTGGTTAACTTGGGATTAAATCAAACAAGATATTTTAATATGTATCCTCCAGACTGTAGGTGGCAAGTGAGACGGTCTCAACGTCCTGGTTGTTACTCCAATTACTGTAATGTAGTGCAAATGATGAACAAATCTACAATCTTCTCTTTGATGCAAAATGTACAGATAACATCGCATTCTTGGAGAACTTATGCTTTATTTGCGAGGTCCATTGTTGCGGATAGTCCGGAGTTTAACGTTGTAGTCAAAGGTATCATTAAACCTGTTGCATTCTCTGGTCATTGTAATGTCATGCATTCTCTGGTCATTGTAATGTAATGCATTCTCTGGTCATTGTAATGTAATGCATTCTTTGGTCATTATGCGTACGCGTTTCATTATTAACATGTATGGTGATATGCATGGCAATGAAATAAATGAAACAACGCTCGTTAAATGCACGCGGTACTTTTTTTATCTTTTTTATCTTGCTGATTTGACTTAGCATCATCTAACATTTCTGAAGTTATTGTTTTTCAACTTTTGTATTTCAGAATTAATGACTTCTACATTACTAAAGAAATGAGTATGATTTACTGGGAATTTTGAAATTAGATTTCTTGTTATTTTTCTTTGTTTTTTTTTTAATTTTTGGGGGATTTTTTCAGCAAATTTTCAAATTTAAGTTCAAAAATTGATAATTTTTCTGTAAAAGAATTTGTATGTTCTACTTGTGAGCTTTGATATAATTTAAAGTAATGCAGTTTTGAGTTGATATAGCATAACAATTTAGCGTAATTAAGTTATCCTTTCAAGGCAACACGCACCACATTGCTCGAGCTCACTTCTTTTAAACACATTAATTCTCAAATGATAAATATATTTCAGATATTAATTAGATCTTGTAGATTTAATTGCCATTGTGTTTATAGCAAAGAAGAAGGAAAACGTTCAATAATATTGAAATAATAGTATAACTTCAACGAGAATTGATAATGTGTAAATAGAACACACCTCTCAGTAATAACGGTTTACAGTCTAGACAATACATTGCCTATTTAATGTGTGTGCTTTTGATTTATAATAATCATTTCACTTCCTGTGTATTTTGTATATGTGTGATGTCCTGCTTCCTACAGTTCCTCTCAACCTGATCATAAGTTTGCTGTGCATGTTATTGCTTCATGGTGTTCTTTTTTCTATTACGTAATTAAAACGTTTCTTTTGCATGGCTTTCTTGATTCCCCAATTCCTGAAATTCTTAACTTGGTTGTGGGTATATATATATGGTATTCGAAAATATTTATATTCATAATATAGGTATTTATTAATTATATCTGCGCAGCATTCACACACAGGATATTCACACACAGGATATTCACACACAGGATATTCACACAGAGGATATTCACACACAGGAAATTCACACAGAGGAAATTCACACAGAGGAAATTCACACAGAGGATATTCACACAGAGGAATTCACACAGAGGAAATTCACACAGAGGATATTCACACAGAGGATATTCACACAGAAGATATTCACACAGAGGATACTCACACAGAGGATATTCACACAGAGGATATTCGCACAGAGGAAATTCACACAGAGGAAATTCACACAGAGGATATTCACACAGAGGATATTCACACAGAGGAAATTCACACAGAGGAAATTCACACAGGAGTTTTCTACGGATATATTGAAAATAATTTCATCCCAGCTTGCATAATAGCATTTATTAATTAATTAATGTTTCTTTGGAGCGGACCCTTAGTCCTAAATTGTATGTCAGTCAAAATTAATTGATAAATAATTATATTTTTTAATATAGGAAAACGAAATTTTATTCACAGTTGGTTTTAGGAACTTGTACATTTTTTTCAATTTACCGACAAGAAAAACTTGATGATTTACCTGTTAATTATTTAACATTTATAGTAAAGAAAAAACATTTGTATGCGCCGCGTGCATGTTTGGTGTGGCGTGTGTGGCTGCTGTGGCGCGTGTGGCTGCTGTGGCGCGTGTGGCTGCTGTGGCGCGTGTGGCTGCTGTGGCGCGTGTGGCTGCTGTGGCGCGTGTGGCTGCTGTGGCGTGTGTGGCTGCTGTGGCGTGTGTGGCTGCTGTGGCGTGTGTGGCTGCTGTGGCGTGTGGCTGCTGTGGCGTGTGGCTGCTGTGGCGTGTGGCTGCTGTGGCGTGTGGCTGCTGTGGCGTGTGGCTGCTGTGGCGTGTGGCTGCTGTGGCGTGTGGCTGCTGTGGCGTGTGGCTGCTGTGGCGTGTGGCTGCTGTGGCGTGTGGCTGCTGTGGCGTGTGGCTGCTGTGGCGTGTGGCTGCTGTGGCGTGTGGCTGCTGTGGCGTGTGGCTGCTGTGGCGTGTGGCTGCTGTGGCGTGTGGCTGCTGTGGCGTGTGGCTGCTGTGGCACGTGTGGCTGTAAGGTGCCTTCCCTCCACAGTGGCGGTGTCGCTCGTCAGGAAGCGTGCCGGCAAGTTCAGCCTTGATATCTTCTCCTTGGCGCAGTGAAGACCGCCTTGACGGCCTTCACCGCCTTGACGGTCTTCACCGCCTTGACGGCCTTCACCGCCTTGACGGTCTTCACCGCCTTGACGGCCTTCACCGCCTTGACGGTCTTCACCGCCTTGACGGCCTTCACCGCCTTGACGGTCTTCACCGCCTTGACGGCCTTCACCGCCTTGACGGCCTTCACCGCCTTGACGGCCTTCACCGCCTTGGCAGACAACGGATCACGCGCTCTTAATCAAATTATTTGTAAAATTCGATTAAGAATTGACCGACCAATCCTGCACCTTAATATATATTACATTTTCTGTTAGGAAATTCATGTAAATAATTACATATAATAATTATGTATAATTATTACGTATAATAACTTGGGAAGACGTTAATAGAAGTTCAAAAAAAGAACTTCTATTAATTAAGAAAAAATAAATTAACGGACGCTTGCTTCGGTCGTTGTTATGTCAACCTGTAGGCAGGGTGACTTTAGTGATATAAATATGATCTTATATTGAATGTCTGCAATGTATTTATATTACTGAGTTATACACTAACTGCTATGTAGTAATTTAGTTTATGTGGGATGTTGGATGATTATGTAGGAAAATTGATGATGATGTACATGAGTAAGATGGAGTATGAATAATGAGTATGTATAAGTTATATTATCGAGCTGGAAATTAAGACGTTAGAGTAGGAAAGCAAGATAGTATATGGAAATGAGAGTAATATATTGGAGTAGGAAAGTTAGATAGAGTAGGAAAGTAAGATGGAAGAGGAGGAAAGCAAGATAATGGAGTAGGAAGTCATTAACGCTGATCCTAATCTACCTTAAAAAAGTTTTGCTCAATAGAGTTTGTCTACCGCCGGCCTCCTGTGTGTTGTTTTGTGCAATTATATAATACAATGAATTGTATTGCCTTAGCTCATCTACTCCTCTCAGCTCATCTACTCCTCTCAGCTCATCTACTCCTCTCAGCTCATCTACTCCTCTCAGCTCGTNAGAGTGTTGCTCTGTCTTGCAGAGTGTTGCTCTGTCTTGCAGAGTGTTGCTCTGTCTTGCAGAGTGTTGCTCTGTCTTGCAGAGTGTTGCTCTGTCTTGCAGAGTGTTGCTCTGTCTTGCAGAGTGTTGCTCTGTCTTGCAGAGTGTTGCTCTGTCTTGCAGAGTGTTGCTCTGTCTTGCAGAGTGTTGCTCTGTCTTGCAGAGTGTTGCTCTGTCTTGCAGAGTGTTGCTCTGTCTTGCAGAGTGTTGCTCTGTCTTGCAGAGTGTTGCTCTGTCTTGCAGAGTGTTGCTCTGTCTTGCAGAGTGTTGCTCTGTCTTGCAGAGTGTTGCTCTGTCTTGCAGAGTGTTGCTCTGTCTTGCAGAGTGTTGCTCTGTCTTGCAGAGTGTTGCTCTGTCTTGCAGAGTGTTGCTCTGTCTTGCAGAGTGTTGCTCTGTCTTGCAGAGTGTTGCTCTGTCTTGCAGAGTGTTGCTCTGTCTTGCAGAGTGTTGCTCTGTCTTGCAGAGTGTTGCTCTGTCTTGCAGAGTGTTGCTCTGTCTTGCAGAGTGTTGCTCTGTCTTGCAGAGTGTTGCTCTGTCTTGCAGAGTGTTGCTCTGTCTTGCAGAGTGTTGCTCTGTCTTGCAGAGTGTTGCTCTGTCTTGCAGAGTGTTGCTCTGTGTTGCAGAGTGTTGCTCTGTGTTGCAGAGTGTTGCTCTGTCTTGCAGAGTGTTGCTCTGTGTTGCAGAGTGTTGCTCTGCAGTGACCACCAGTGTTGCCGTGTCCTGTTACAGGGCGCACTGTTATGCAACGCACCACAGTATATTGCATTACATGTGCAGTGTATTGCAGTATATGCTGTATATTGCAGTATATGCTGTATATTGTAGTATATGTGAAGTTTACTGCATTATATGCAGTGTATTGCAGTATATGATGTATATTGCAGTATATGTGAAGTGTACTACATTAAGTGCAGTGTACTGCATTATATGTGCAGTGTATTACTGTACATGTACAGTGCAGTGCAGTGCAGTGGCCCAGCAGTAGTACAGCCCTAATAACAAATGTACAGCGTACGCAGTTAAGGCGTCACGCAGTCGCGTGTCACGGAAGCGTTTTTGCTGCGCGCAGAATATTGCCTATGCTGGCAATAGGTGTAATGTATAGGTGATATATGTCGGTCAATATTAGTATTATATGTAGATGAATATTAGTATTATATGTAGGTGAGTATCAGAACTATATATTAGGTGTCATGCCTAACTAGTCACGCACGTATCGCTTCATTCATATCTTGCTGTTCTCTCATTCATTTCTCGTTACCGTCAGTATTGATAGTAATTTCCTATGAATACTATTTTCTTAAACTCTCAATTTGAAATTGGGCAGCACATTTTCATCGTGAATATACCAATTTCTAGCGAGAAAATTTCTCAATCCCTCTTCTATCTGACGTCTTGATATTTTAAGATCTGAGGTTCATTAATTTTTAATGAAAATACATTAATTTACGCTGGAAAATTATGTATTGTATTTTATATAGTATTGTTTGTCATTTAATTTGTTTAGTCTTTCTCGGTAGCTTTTTTTAAGTTGTATTGTTTTAGTTTCGTTGGAATGTACGAAAATTTATATTTTGTACATTTTACAGAGCACTTGTTAAGGCTGGAATTGTAAAGAAATTTTTAAAATAAAACGGACTATGAGAAAACTAATCGTATTTTACGTGCCCTTGTTATTGTGATTATCGAAAATTGCACGCGTGTTGACATTCAAAAAAATGAACTAAACTATCTGAATAAACAATTATAATAATATAGAAATACTGTGGTCAGAAAAAAAAAGTTTCTCTGGAGCCTTACTATAGAAATATTGTTGCACTGCTTAGACGAATGGGGAAAATAAATTGAACTATTCATAAGCTCGTGAAATTGGAGCGAGTTATCTCAGTATATCGTTGAAAATGGATTACAGGTGCAAATTCACATGAATTAATTCAACATAAATTCCAGTTGCATCTCGACACAGTCTCTTGGTCGTAAAAGTGTTCTGCTGAATTGTGACAGAGAAATGCAGTGAAAATCGCTGCATAAGTCCCTCTAACGGTGTCCAAATATAAGACATTTTATGGCTTATTGCAATGCTTACTAGAGGACAGTGTTGCACAAAACTCCCTCCATAAATGCATGAGGCGAGACGTTCCCGTGAACTTATATGTACCCTCGCAGCCCTCTATAGCAGCAGTCTCTGAAGGATAGAAAAAATTTGTATGTACATTGAGTGGAAAGAAATTTTTTCTAAGGATGCATTCCAACAGCATTTATAACATAACATCACATAACATAGTGAACTGCTTCATATCGTTTCTGCATCTAGGAACTCGTATGAGCGTCTGATTAGTCCAAGAAGTTTGTTGGATGTGTTAGCTTGCTTTTCAACATGCTTAGAAAATTTCAGCTCCTTGTCGACATAAACTCCGAGATCTTTATGTGATGCTATTTTATGTTATATCATTTGTGTTAGAAGTATTTACTCACTTAGATGATGTTTTGAGGGGTCGCTTAGCTGCTAAAATGATAAAAAATACTTAACGAATAAAAATATGCTAAAAACGCCTCTTTGTGGCACGCCACTGCGTACTGTTTCCCAGTCTGATGCGGCCCCGTTTATACTAACACGTTGTCGTCTACCTTTTAAGAAAACGCTGATTTATTGGATTACATTTCCCTCTGTTTCCAAAAACTTCACTTTACGCAACAGCCGCTCAAATGCTTTGACAAAATCGAGGTACAATTTATCCACTGGCTCATTTCGTCCAACAGGCGAGTCCAACTTTTCCAAGGTCGACAACAGGTTAGTGGTGCATGACTGCCGACACCAAAGCCATGTTGACAGTCATGGCAACGAAGTCATGATGACTAGGATGGTTAACAGTCGACTGATCGATAATGTCATGTCATAAACTCCATTGCCTTATAAACAACACTTGTGAGAATGACAGGGCGATAGTTACCGGGGGCCTATTCGATCATGTCACCTTTGTCGAGTAATGGTGTTACTTGAGCTTCTTTGCAATCGATTGGTAATTCCTTGGTTCAAGGTTTTTGAAAGAATACTGTCAATGGGCCGGCCAGAACGGATGGTAATTCTTTGACCAATGTGGGATGGAAGCCGTCTGGTCCACATGACTTGTTGGGATTTAGAGCTACCAGGCGCTTGAGAACCTCTTCTTCGTGTATTTCAGAACCTGTTAGCTTCGAGCCGACTGGGCGCTCCTCAATATCTGGAATGCTGTTCAAGTCCTCATCTGTGAACACGCTACTAAAAAACTGATGAAGAACGTTAGCCTTGCCCTCATCAGAGGATATCTTTTCGTGATCTACTTCCAGATCAGAAATACCGTCGTTTGTCTTACTTCGAACTAGCGTACAAAAAAAGGCTTTCAGATTCCTTTTCGTAATTTTGGCAATATATTTTCATAAGTTCTTCACTGTGGTGTGACAGATATTCTTTAGCTTGATTTCGAGCTCTTGTGTACAAGATATAGTCAGCACAAGTACGAGTCTGTAAATAAAGCTTGCAAGCATCCTTCTTGGTCTTTAGCTTAGCTAGAACTATATACTGTTCATCAACTATGTCTTTTTGCATGAACCAAGCTTGATCTTATAGGTACACATGCATCAACTGCATGCATAAACATGCATCAACTGCATACATAAACTTGTCCTTGAGAAGCGACCATGCCTTGGCCACATTCAGGTCACACTTTACTCAGATAAAACACACAACTTACACATACTTAGATATCAATGATGCTCCATGATAACATTGATGATAAGGTATGCATACAAAATTACAAACGATACCCAACGATATCTGATTATGAATACGAGGTGTGGTAGAGAAGTAAGGAGACTTGTATTTTATTTATTTTTATTATTAACCTATTATTTTAATTTTATAACATCAATGTTCTACACTTCAACACAGTTTCATAAGGAAGCTCCGCATTGATGGGGGCGCTATTCACGCATTTTATGTCCTTGACATGGCGTCCTTTGAATTAATTCTCAAATTTATGGTAGAGCCATAGTCGCACTGGCTGAGGAACTACAGAAGCATTGCAGTTAATGTAACAAATACTGTAAAAAAATGTGAGCAACGCGCCAATGCCATGATGTAACATCCATTTACCTGCAATGTCGAATCATAATTAGCCAGACTTCCTTTTGGATTCCTTTTAACGAAGTTTTTGTAATAAACTTATCCGACAATATTTACTACAGGAAAGAAATTTTCATGGGCAATTCCCATATCGAAAAATGCAAGTGTCTCAAAGTTGAAGATCGTTTCAACTCTAGACGATAAGTCGTATCAGCTTCGATCGGTAACGATCATTTACGCCAAGCACGGACGAGTGACGATCATCTACGATTGATCATCACGATAAGTTTAGCTACGATAAGTAATTGCAAGCAGAGGTCAGGATAGTCAAAATGGCTGGCAGCGATAAGCTACGATAAGTTCCGATAAGCTACGATAAGTTCCGATAAACTACGATAATTACCGGCAGCAGAAGTCGCGGCACAATCAACGATAAGTTCAAGATGCAGCGATAATAAAACATGTGGCGTGCAGCAACAGGATGCGAGTAGCAACGAAAGTCGAAGTGAAATCAAATGTTTTCCTTATCTTTATCTTTATCACTGAGCTTAATAAGAATAGTCAGAAGGTTTACCCGCCAATTGCCTTCAAGCTTCACTAACATCATAAATAACAACAATCTTGAGAGCTACACGTGGCTAATTAAATGAGTTAGAAAATATAAAATTGATTAAATTAATTGTTTCATTAGTACATACCTAATTTATATTTTAATTACAAAATAAATTCTTTATTTGTGTCATGAAAATAGTATTTTTCAAGTTAATGATTATAAATCGTCATAATTATTCAAATGAATGATAATGAATTAATGGTAGCAATATAAAGGCCTCAATTTAGCGATTATGTTCC